CCTTCATTGGCGCCATTGCCACATGTATACTATCACATTTTGCATATAACTGGTCGAGGCACGCTCAACCAGGCCTCTTACTTTTCAAGTTTGATTAAACCTGTTACACTGGTAGCAGAGGATGGTTACTACTCTGCTTTTGGCAGGTGTTCTGGTCGCTCTGCTTACGCTCCTCGTACTCGTCGTTCGGCTGATAAACGATATCAAGACCGCTCAGCGCGTTAGCCAAGGACACCGAACGATACATCCGAACTCGGAACCGTGGGAGCCAACACCCCGCCTTACGAAAGAGCCGCCTGTGTTTGGAGGAGATTCCGCTACATTCAAAGAATGGACGTTTGCAATGGACATGGCCCTACGGTCGTTGGCACTCCCAAATGCGGCACAGAGGGTCGACTACGCGGCAGGATTTTTGACTGGAAACGCTCGTCTTTGGTTGATAGCGGCATTGGAAGCTAACCAAGTGTTTTCCGACTGGCCTGCTCTGAAAGCGGCACTTGGCGATGTGTACGGACCACGGCACAACGAGGAAACATCGCGTATGGGACTAATTTCCGCAGCGCAGCGCGGGTCGCTGGACGCATACATTGCTGCTTTCACTCGCCTCAGCCTGCAAGTGCCGGAAATCGACCACCACACCAGAGCGCTGCTGTTCGTCAGGGGTCTAGTGCCGCACATCCAGCGACAGGTCATGCGTGAGCATCCACGTACCCTGGAGCAAGCTGTCATGGCAGCAAACACCGTGGAGCAGTCGTCAGGGCCACCGGCGTCGGGGCCACCAGCCAGTAGAGAGTCGCGTTCCGTGCCCAGCTTCCGTGGTCAGGGCCTCCGCAAGCTGACGGACCAAGAGCGTGTCCAACTGCGAGCAATGGGACACTGCTTTGCTTGCAGGAAGCCAGGCCACCTCGCTAAAGACTGTACTGAGGGTGGACAGCGCTACCCAAACGCTGGTCGCCAGTAAGAAAGGGGGTGCGCTTACTGGCGACGACCCAAGCGCCCACGCCGGTACCAGTCGCTAACCGGTTCGGAGCTCTGGAGGTTGAAGACGTTGCTCTCCAGGAACCTACGGAGCCGGAGACACCCATAGCTGTAGGAAATTGTCCCGTTGCAGAAAGGTGTCATGTCAGCAACGTCAGCGTCGGCAATGAACCTGAACACGACCTACTGCGCATACAGGGAAAGATCGGCGGTCGCCGTGCAGTGATGCTGATAGATTCCGGTTCGACGCATGACTTCATTGCAGACAGTTTTGTTCGAAAGCATCATCTTGACACGGATGCAAGGTCAGCAGTGCTGAGCGTAACATTGGCGGACGGCTCGACCAGCGAGGTCCCGCAGATTTCCACACGCACGCTAAGGGTGACAGTCGGGGGCTTCAGTGAGGAACAGCACTTTACTGTGTATCCCCTGACTCGCTACGACGCTATTCTTGGCAAGCCGTGGCTTACAAGGAACAACCCCAGCATCAACTTCCGTACGAACGAAGTTCAGTTGGACGGTGAGCCCTTTGTTGCCAAATTGCCTTCAGCTAACCCGCCGACAGCCGACCGGCCATCTGTGGAAAGCATGTTTATCAGTGGCCGACAAGCTCGTCATGCCCTGAGGAGTGGAGCCGAGGGGTTTCTTGCATGGGTCACTGCTGCAAACGAGGAGAATCGTTCCGGGCCACAACTCCAGGAATCAGAGCAACAAGACATCCAGAACCTGCTCAAGAGGTACCAGGATTTATTTCCAGACGAGCTGCCGAATGAGCTTCCACCGAAGAGACCAGTCGACCATGAAATCCAGATAGAAGATGGAGCCAGACCACCGTCTCGACCCGCCTACCGCCTGCCGAAACCAGAGATGGACGAGCTCCAGTCACAGCTATCAGAATTACTTGAGAAGGGATTCATTGAGCCAAGTAAGTCGCCATACGGTGCACCTGTGTTTTTTGTGAAAAAGTCGGATGGTACTCTGAGAATGGTGTGCGATTGGCGAGAATTGAATAGAATTACGATCAAAAACAAAGCTTGTCTTCCTAATATTGATGACTTATTCGACACGATCCAGGGCAGTGCATATTTCTCCAAGTTGGACTTGCGGTCAGGCTACAATCAAATCAGAATTCAAGACTCGGATGTTTCTAAGACGGCCATTAATACGCCGTTCGGCCACTTCCAATTTAGAGTCATGGGATTCGGGCTGACTAATGCCCCGGCCACCTTTCAGTCTCTCATGAACTCTATTCTGCAACCGCATCTCCGAAAATTCGTTGTAGTATTCTTGGATGACATTCTAGTTTTCAGCAAGACCTGGGAAGATCATCAGCATCATCTTCAAACAGTTCTAGAAACACTTAGAAATAGTGAGCTGTATTGCAAACAGTCTAAATGCGAATTCGGCGTGAGAGAAGTTCTCTTCTTGGGGCATAAAATCAACGGCACATCAATTTCCCCTGATCCCAAGAAGATAAGTGCTGTGGAAAAATGGCCAACTCCGTCGTCAGTAACTGATGTGAGGAAGTTTCTTGGCTTTGCAAACTATTTCCGAAGGTTCATAGATCGACACTCGACCATCTCTCGTCCATTAGAAGAAATCACCGGAAAAAATTCACGCTTTGAATGGAGCGCTGCTAGACAGAAGGCATTCGAGTCTCTAAAATCAGCATTACTCGAGGCGCCAGTGTTGCAACTGGCCGATGTTGAGAAAAGCTTCATGGTAGAAACTGACGCAAGTGACTTTGCCGTGGCGGGTGTGCTCCTGCAGCAGGGAGAAGATATGGATTTGCATCCCGTAGCCTATTGTAGTCGGAAACTGTCAGCTGCAGAACGCAACTATACTGCGGCCGAGAGGGAAACGTTGGCTGTGGTATTTGCATTAAAGTGCTGGAGAATCTATCTATTCCGCCACTTTGACCTGATGACTGATAATATGGGTGTTGTCTATTTACGAACCAAACCGACTCTCACCAAGCGTGAGGCAAGATGGGTAGAGTTTTTAGCTGACTATGACTTTACGGTCTTTCACAAACCAGGAAAGAAAAACATTGCCGACCCGCTTTCACGCCGTCCAGATCTGTTCAGTGATTCTGAAATAGGCGGGTCATCCTATCCTCCTAACATTCAGTTGAATGCCATAGAGCATACCCTAGAGATTAATCCAGACTTAGCGCAGTTAATTGTCAACGGTTACAAGTGCGACAAGGATCTTGCTCCCATTATCAGGAGACTGAAAAATTCAAGCCATGACAATCTGCACGACCGTTACCTTCTAAATGAAACACCCGGTTATCTTTATCTCAGATCTTCACCACAGAACAGGTTATGCATTCCAAAGAGTAGCAAACTCCGACTCGCCCTGCTTCAAGAATACCATGACTGTGTGACTGCGGGGCATCCCGGTCGAGATCGCACCTATTTCAGACTCTCTAGATATTTCTATTGGCCCAGAATGGGACTGGATGTAAAGGCGTTTGTCAAGTCATGTGACGTCTGCCAACGAGTTAAAGGCGGCCAGCTAAAAACTGGTCTCTTGCAGAATTTACCAGTGCCCAGTCAGCCGTGGGCAGATATCTCGATGGATTTTATCATGGGTTTGCCTAGGACCGATACAGGTCATGATGCTATATATGTATTTGTAGACCGCTTGACAAAGTGTGTACATTTAGCACCTACTTCCTCTACTATTGACGCTAAAGGAAGTGCTGATCTGTATATTCAACATGTATTTCGACTTCATGGTTTGAGTTCTAGTATTGTATGTGATCGTGATCCAAGATTTACGGCAGCATTTTTTCAGGAATTGTTTGATCGCTTAGGAACGAAACTAGCATTTAGTACTGCCAATCACCCTCAGACAGATGGCCTAACTGAACGAGTAAACAGAATAGTAGAGGATGTGCTGAGGGCTTTTGTAAATCATAAACAAGATAACTGGGATATGCTCCTACCTCTCTGTGAGTTTTCTATCAACAGCGCTACTCAATCATCTACAGGAAACACACCGTTCTTCTTAAATTACGGTCTAAATCCCAGAGCGCCACCCGACTTCCTCAACCCTATTCAGGGAGGCAGAGATTCAGCTGATTGGTTGCAAGCAAGACAAGACGCGGTCAAGATCTCACAAGATGCGCTAGTGGCAGCTCAAGCTCGTCAGGCCTTCTATGCAGATCGGACAAGGGTCGAGGGAAAGCTGAAGGTGGGAGATTTGGTAATGGTCTACCGGGATTTCCTCCTGACTCCTGAAGCTCGGGACCGACCATCCCATAAATTACGCCCCAAGTGGTTTGGCCCCTTTCCTATAACCCATGTGGTCGGCCCGAATGCCTACAAGCTCAAGTTGCCTCATACCAGCCGCTGTCACCCGGTATTTAATGTGTCGGCACTCCGTGCCTACGAGAAGAACGCTATTCCTAATAGGAGACAGCCTACGCCTCCGCCTATCACGGACCTTGATGGTCATGCCCGCTATGTGGTGGAGAACATTCTCAGTCACCGCCGTCGGCAGAATCAGCTTCAGTACCTAGTCAAGTGGCAAGGCTACTCTGATGCCACTTGGGAGCCTGAACATTATTTGTTGGATGAATCTGGTAATGACATTGTTCCACTTCAGAAGTACAAAACCTTGGCTTCTGCCCGCTGAGTTTTGCAGTTGAACTTCTAGTTTCACCTTACACATTTGTTGAGCTTATTACACTTTATTTGCATGGAGTTTCAGTCGTCTTATTGTGTTACTTCAGTGCGAAGCCTTTTTTCGTCTCGCACGTGTTTGCGCTTATTGTACTCTATTCCACTTGAGCATTTGGGTTATAAGCTCCTTCCTCTCCATAGGAGGGGGATGATGTAACAGTTTTCCCCTGTTCTCTATAACTTTACACTCCCTCACACCTCGTGCGTCTTACGCCTGTCTATTAGCACCTTCATTGGCGCCATTGCCACATGTATACTATCACATTTTGCATATAACTGGTCGAGGCACGCTCAACCAGGCCTCTTACTTTTCAAGTTTGATTAAACCTGTTACAGCGGGGCTGCGCGGAGGTGCTTGAGTTTGATTGACTCCAGCGGCTTGTGGTCGGATTCTACTGTGAATGACTGACCGAATAGGTAGGTGTGGAATCTTTCACACCCGTATACGACAGCTAAGAGCTCACGCTCAATATTGGCGTAGCGAGACTCCGTCTCGGTAAGCTTCTTGCTGGCGAATGCAACAGGCTTGTCGTCCTGCAGCAGAGTGGCGCCGAGACCTTTCATGGAAGCGTCGACTTGTAGTGTCGTTGCCTTGCCTGGGTCAAAGTAACTGAGCGTTACTTCTGTCGAAATGGCGGCCTTGACCTTGTCGAAGGTGCGCTGGTGGCTGTCTGTCCAGGCGAACGGTGTATCTGGCTTGGTCAGCTCACGCAGGTGCGCGGTGAGTGTGCTGGCATTCGGTATGAACGGGCTCATGTACGTGACTAGCCCGAGGAACGTCTGGAGCTCGTCCTCGTTCTCGGGGTGCTCCATCTGCTTCAGCGCTGAGACCTTCTTCGGGTCGGGCTGTATTCCGTCAGCGCTGCAGATGATGCCGAAGAACTTGATCTTGTCCTCTTTGATGCGGCATTTGTCTGGGTTTAACTTGAGACCAGATTGTTCGCAGCGAACCATCATCTGGTGCATGTTGAGATCATGGTCCTCGTCTGACGTCCCGTATGTGACGATGTCATCTGCGATGCCGGTGACGCCTGAGCACCCTTCGAACGTCTGGTCGATCCTTGCTTGGAAGGCATCTTGCGACATCTTGAGGCCGAATGGCATGCGAAGGAATCTGTAGCGCCCGAATGGTGTGTTGAAGGTGGTGAGGTAACTGGATTCGTCGTCGAGCTCCACATTCCAGTACCCACATTTGACGTCGACGATCGAGAACACTTTGGCACCTCTCAACTTCGGGGTGATCTCCTCAATGGTGGAGACCACGTGGTGCTCTCGCAGGATGGCGTGATTGAGGTCCTTGGGGTCTAGGCACAGGCGTAGCTTGCCATTGTCTTTGAGGCGGAACACGAGGCTGTTCACCCATGCTGTTGGTTCGCCTTCCTGGATCTTGGTGATGATGCCGTTCTGGATCATGTCCTCCAGCTCCGTCTTGATCTCGTCTCTCAGTGCGATGGCGTGGAGGTGGCGTGGAGGGTGTACAACCGGGACGACGTTGGGGTCCACTGTGATGTGGTACTTGCCTGGGAATTTCCCAATGCCATCGAAGCACTTCGGGTATTGCTTCATCAGGTCGTCCTTGTGTCGGATGCTCGCTGGCTTCTCCTGGACAGCGCAGTTCAGCGTGACTAACTGCAGGGCTGTCGCTGTCGGGAGGCCGATGATAGCAGTGCCAGGGCAGTCCGTGATGTAGAAGTCAGCGAGTTGACTCTTGCCATCGTAAGAGCACGGAATAGGACGGGTTCCGCATTGCTTTATCTTGGATCCGCCGTACACTGTGAGGGTGGTACTTGACGGCTTCACGGACTTCGGCTTTTGGTATCCGTTTGGTCCGACGTGCTGGGGAAACATTTGGCAGAACACTCTCAGCGGCAATATATTGCCCTGGGCGCCCGTATCCACCTTGGCTCTCAAGGTGGCCGGTCTGTTGGTGTTGTCCAGGCTGACATTGAGGGTCGCGAACACCTCTCGCTCTAGTGGCGGTTGGTGACGCTCGACGCTGTCGATGATGACGGCGTCGAAATGCAGTGCGTCGAAGCGTCTCCGTGGGCTGGGGCTCCTCTGGGGGTAGCGCTCCCGCGGGCTGGGGCTCCTCTGGCGCCAGCGTCCGCGTTGCTGGCCCCTTCCATGTGCCTCGTCTCTCCCCTGCGAACGGCATACGTTTGCCCAGTGATTCGCCTTCCCGCATTTTTTACAGGTGGAGCCATGCGCTGGGCACTTGCTTGGGTGGTGGGTTCGTCCACATTTGCCGCAGTCTGCGTGTCCCACAGATTTGGAAATGGCGTGAACCGTTTCAGGTAGACGGCTGCTGCTGGTGGCGGTAGACAGCTGCTCCATGTGGCGCTGTGTTGCTTCATAAGTACGGGCCTTGTCAAGCGCTTCGTCCAGAGTCAAATCACTACCACCCTCCAGCAGGCGTTCTTGCACTTTCGTGTGCTTCGTCCCCACGATTAGCTGTTCTATCAGGCGATCGTTAGTCTCCTGAGCGTCCCTAAACTTGCACTTGGACGTCTTCTTCTTACACCTCGCAAAGAAATCATCTACTGACTGGTCGGGTTGCTGGTGGTATTTCTGAAGCTCAACCCGAGCCAGTCGTGCATTTACCCGTGGCTGCAAATGCTTATTAAATTTCTTGAAGACGGCAGCTACTTTGGATTTGTCGCTTGCATTATCCCACTCGAAACTATTGAAAGCATCAACACCAGTTCTCCCGATCCATAGCATGACATAGGCGACCTTTTCCTTGTCGGACTTGTCGGAAAAGGGCCCTTGGAAAACTAGAAGGCAGTATTGTTGGAACCGCTCGAATTCATCAGGTAAATCTGCGGCTTGCCAATCCATCGACGGCGGAGTAAATCCGGCTGCTTCTGCCATTTTACCTCTTGCACCGGTGGCGCTACTGCGACAATTCTAGGGCGTTTATTTAGTTTACTTCTGACACCATGTTTCGGGGTAAACAAGTTAGTTGTTTACGATAGGATTATATTCTCACTTGGCCATTGTAGGCAAATCATAAGAACCACGACATCTAAAGGATGCTGCATGAAAGTAGGCAGCTGCGAGATGCGTATCTCGCGCATGCTCTTGCATGGCTACGTAATGCATTACATCATAATACAACACACCGTATGGCGACTTACTTGGCTCAATGAATCCCTTCTCAAGTAATTCTTACAGCTGTGACTGGAGCTCGTCCATCTCTGGTTTCGGCAAGCGGTAGGCGGTACGAGACGGTGGTCTGGCTCCATCTTCAATTTTTTTTATTTTTTTATTTTTATTTATTTTTATTGAAAAACCACAAACCTTCAGACATGTGAATGTGCACATGATATACAGTGTACATACGTATGTATCGAGAAGGCAGCACGGACACGGCAGTGGTGGTGAGGCCTGGGCAGCTCGTCCGACCGTGGGTCTCGGAGTCAACACTGGGCAGACGCACCGGGGGGGGGGGTAGCTTAGGAGATAAGGGATGAAGCCAGCATGATCATAGTATGTAATGCATATGCAGACGTAATAATGATGTTAATCTTAAAAACAATAGTGCGGTGGACCTGCGCAGAGGAAAGGCATCATGGACATGATCTACGTGTATGACATTAAAATAATATTATAAGTGAGCTAGGGCACATCATACATACACATATGCGCATGTTCAAATAGGAGATCAACCTGATAGGGCGTTCGCCGGCGTTGGGTAATCTTGAAATAACTATATTAATATTATTGAAGAGATTATTATCATACGCTCACATAAACACCACATACCAACCATGGGCACCCACCCACCCACCCACACACACACAAACACACACATGCTCGCATGCACGCACACACACACGCACACACGCGCGCACACACACACACACATACACACCACACACACACACACACACACACATACACACATCACACACACACACACCACACACACACACGCACACGCATACACACACACACACATACACACAGACACACACGTGCACATTCACGCAGACACGTAATCATACATAATATTTGTGCACAGACTCACTCTCTCACAGTAACGTCCAGAAAACCACCACGCCGAGTCCCTACAGCCGGTCGGTCGCCCAGTCCCAGTGGCTCGAGCGCAGGAATCGGTGGACGCTGCACTTGAAGGACTGCAACCTCTTCTGGTCGGGCTGATCCAGGAGGTGTTGGCGAGGCAACTGGTTCCAGGTGTCCAGCACTCCTTCAGGGAACGACCGGCGGACGTTGTTGCGAGAATTGGCTGGGATATCAGACTGCAGCTGGTAGCGGTGGCCGGCCGCCACCCGCGCCTGCTGCCTGGTGTTGGCAGGATGTTGGTCGTGGTCTGGTACTGCTTGGGAGGCGGGCAGCATTCGGGTTAGCATCTGTGGGCCTGTCAGGTAGTGGATTTTGTAGAGATAGCAGAGAGCAGCCACTTTGCGCCGGAGTTCGAGGCTTGGCAAATATGCGCCTTCGGCGATCAGATGCAGGGCTCTCCGCTGTACAGCATCGAGTTGGGCCAGCACCGTCCGAGAAGCACCCATCCAGACTAGCATGCCATGCTCTAAGACTGGGCGAACAAAGCCGTTGTAGACCGTGAGACGGCAGCCAGGGTCAAGCACTGCTGAGGCCTTCTTCAGGAAGCCCAGTCGCTGTGTGGCGCGCAGGGCTGACTGTCGAATCTGCTGGCAGAATGTCAGTTGACTGTCGAAGGCTATCCCAAGTAGCTTCAGGCACTGGGTTTCAGGAACCATTTCACCTTGGAATGTGACCGGAGGGCAGTCCCAGGGCCGACGGTGGTGGCTGAGGTGGAGTAGGTATGACTTGGCGGGCTCGAATGTCACTCGCCAGGTCGCACCCCAGGCAGCAAGGGCATTGACGGCGGTCTGGAGATCATCACAGTCAGCTGCGAGGTTGCAGAGATACCGGATACACTTGTAGAGCGTTGTGTCGTCTGCGTACGTGGCAAGGCCGGTCGATTGGGGAAGGTGGTCCTCAGCGTCATTAATGTAGATCAAGAAGAGAGTGGGCCCCAGAATGCTTCCTTGAGGCACACCTGCTCGGATGGCGTGGGTGGCTGATGTTTGTCCACCAGCTACGGCCCGGATCTGGCGGCTCTCTAGGTAGTTTTTCAACCATGAGAGCAGGTGGCCAGTCAGCCCAAGGCATCTGGCCTTGTGAACTACACCGAGGTGCGACACTTTGTCAAATGCGCCGGCCACGTCGACAGCAAGGACTCGAGTCACACCCCCAGCATTGGACGTCCGACTCCACTCATGCTGAAGTGAGAGGAGAAGATCAGTCGTGCCCAGGCCGCGTCGGAACCCGAATTGCCGTCCGGAGAGGACCTGATTGTTTTCCAGGAAGTTAGTGATGCTGCGATTGATGATGGCCTCCATCACCTTAGAGAGTATAGAGAGGAGGGAAATCGGACGGTAGTTCTTCGGGGTAGACTTGGATCCTTTCTTGAAAATAGGGACAACGTTCGCGATCTTCCAGGATGCAGGCTGCACCCCGTCCCGGAAGCACTGGGTGAATAGCTTTGCCAGAGGGCTGGCGAGTGACTGCGCTGACTTCCTGAGCACTTGCGCAGGAATGCCGTCAGGGCCAGTTGCTTTTGAAGCGTCCAGGTTCTTGAGAGCTCGCTGGACTGTGGCAGGGCGGAAGTGTACGGTCTTCAGCCTATTGCCTGTACGTTGGCGAATAGGGGGCAGAGGTGTGTCTGGCAGGTCATTGGCACCAAGGCTACATTTCTCCGCGAAGTAGTGACCGAGGCAGTTTGCTTTCTCGATGTTCGTGGCATGCTCTTTGCCAGCAGGGTCGACAAGAATCGGGATGGAGCTATTTCGGGAGGTTCCGATGGACTGCTTGATGGTTGACCACCACTGTTTATCTCGAAGGCTGCCGGTCTGGAGTCGTGCACGGACTATTGCTAGATGGTGATTCTGGGCATCACCTAGGCAATCAGAAGACCGGTGGACAGCGAGAGTATAGTAAGCTTGACATTGGGGCGAGTCTGGTCGTCTCTTGAGGGACTTCCAGGCACTCTGTTTCGCCTTCACGGCCTTGCTGCAAGCTGGCGTCCACCAAGCGGGATCAGAGGGCCGAGTACAGAGAAGTACGGATGGGATAAACTGGTTCATTCCACCTATGATGGCAGAGGTAATATTGGTGCAGCTGCTATTTGCATCCTCAGACATCAGGGCATCCCAGTCAACACTCCTAAGGTGGTGGTTTAGTCTGTCCCAGTCAGCGCGGCCATATTGCCAGACTGTTCTGGGCGTCTTGGGCTCTCGACATAGTTCTGTTTTGAATTCTGCCAAGATGGTGGCGTGGTCAGATCTACCAATTGGGGGGCCGAGCCGGACCGTCGGGTTGCCCAGGTCACTCATGATGAGGTCGAGGAGGGCATTTCCACGAGTAGGCTCCGTCACATGCTGCTGGAGGTGATGTAGTGCGCAGAGGTCCTCCAGTTTCTCCCCAGCTGGAGTTGTTCTACTGCTGCCCAGCCAGGCAGTGTTGTGCGCATTGAAATCGCCAGCGATGATGAGGTGCTGTGCATCCACCCGGGCAACGTCAATGGTCTGGTCCAAGTAATCTACCATACTGATATCGTTGCCAGGAAGAGACCCTGGGCGGTAGGCAGCACACAAGACAACTTTGCGGCCAGGTCTTATGCGGATAGAAAGCCATACAACGTCTTGATCAAGGGTTGGAACAGCTTCCAGTTCTTGAAAAGCAAGGTGGGATTTCACTCACACAGCCACGCCTCCACCCTGTGGTGTTCGGTCTCGTCTTACTGGAGGGGAGTACCCAGGAAGAGTCACTTCAGCTTGCGTCATCTTATCCAGGGTCAGCTTGGTTTCTGTGACTACAGCAATATCTGCATCAGATGCCAGAAGGGTATGTTGAAATTCGCCAAACTTTGATCGGATACCAAAGGCATTCGTAACCAGCAATTTCAACGTCTTACTGGTCATTGCTCAGGAGAGGGTCGGCAGGTGGGAGACTATCATTGTTCTGAGGAGGAGGGTCAGACTTGGTGATGTCATCAGTTTTGGCAGGTGGGCTAGAATTATCATGGCGTGCTCCACTGCTTTCTTTGAAACGCCATTGCCTGGCATAAAGTGGCCGGGGCCAGAAGTTTGCAGCGGTAATTGTAGAAACTGTTGCAGCGTCAACTGTCAGGTCTATCTGGATTTCATGGTCGACTGGTCTCTTCGGTGGAAGCTCATTCGGCGGCTCATCTGGAAATAATTCCTGGTACCTCTTGAGCAGGTTCTGGATGTCCTGTTGCTCTGATTCCTGGAGTTGTGGCCCGGAACGATTCTCCTCGTTTGCAGCAGTGACCCATGCAAGAAACCCCTCTGCTCCACTCCTCTGGGCATGACGAGCTTGTCGGCCACTGATAAACATGCTTTCCACAGTTGTCTGGTCAGCTGTCGCCGGGTTAGCTGAAGGCAATTTGGCAACAAAGGGCTCACCGTCCAGCTGAACTTCGTTCGTACGGAAGTTGATGCTGGGATTGTTCCTTGTAAGCCACAGCTTGCCAAAAATAGCGTCGTAGCGAGTCAGGTGATACACAGTAAAGTGCTGTTTCTCACTGAAGCCCCCGACTGTCACCTTTAGCGTTCGTGTGGAAATCTGCGGGACCTCGCTGGTCGAGCCGTCCGCCAATGTTACGTTCAGCATTTTTGAGCTTGCACCCGTGTCAAGAAACTTTCGAACAAAACCGTCTGCAATGAAGTCATGCGTCGAACCGGAATCTATCAGCATCACTGCACGGCGACCGCCGATCTTTCCCTGTACGCGAAGTAGATCGTGTTCAGGTTCATTACCGACGCTGACGTTGCTGACATGCCACCTTTCTGCAACGGGGCAAT